CCCCGCAGGCTCCACCAAACTTCCCTCTCATTAGCTCACCAATAACAGAAGCCGTAGCCTGCGTCTGGTAACCAGCACGATCATCAATTGAACATAGATGTTCAGAGACTACTTTCCTTATCTCGAAAACATCTGCATCCTTGAGTTTAACCGCATAAACTCTCCAAGGACAATCCTTCCCACAACACTCCAAGACCATTAATCCTGGCTCTGACTTTCTACTCTTGTAATGAAATTTCTTACTGATAGCATAAATAGCCATATGCTGCTTGAAGGCGTCTCTGGTCCTGAATATCATTCCCTCTTCGACTTCATCTTTATAATCTCCAGTTTCACCTGCTCAAAATTCGTAGTTTAGTTAGATATCGATCATATTTCAAAACAAAAAAATTTAAATGTCTAGATCATGTACTATATACTATACGCTAAACGAAAATCGAGTCTACAATTATCATCTTTGCATTGTATTCAAATAATTACAATCGTTAGCATGCCAAACCATTTCTTGTTCACAACAAATATTCTAAAATTCCTCCTCAAATAAAACCCTTCATTCAAAACTTGCCAACACAAACATCCGGTTCATCAAATGTAAAATATAACCGTAGCAAGCTAAATCAGTTTTCTTTCAGCGTAGTGCTATGAATTTCCTCACATCTATATACTACCAATCTTAAATACCTATGGCATTTTATCAGGCCAACATTCTTATATAAATAGCCAGTTCATAAATTAGCATGTTAAACACCAGCGAATACAATTAACCCACCCCCCAAAAAAAACCTCACCTAAAACATTTCATGATAATATCATTCTTATCACCGCAAAAATACCAAACAAGTAAAATTCTGTATAACAGTTAAGAGTCCATGAACATCTCTTCTCTAGTGTCTACAATAATTATTCTATATTCTACACAGTAGACGCTAATCGAGTCTATAATTATCATTATTTTTTTTAGTGTCTGTAAATAATTACAACCTATAGCGTGCCAAATCTTTTTAGCTTATCTAATTTTCCTACTATTGGTCTCAAAGAGACCCCTTCATTCAAAACTTTGTCTCACAAACTTATTGTTAAGTAACTGTAAAAGATAACCGTTACAATATAAACAAATTAAATTAACCAGGGTGTCATGTTTTCAACATATCCATATACAACCAATTGTCGTTTACTATTTTCTTTTTTCAAGTTAATTACCATGTTTATATTTTTACAGATTAAATTAGCATGACAAACCAATTCTTTTCTGCTGCTATTACTATCCAACAATGTCTTACAAAGTCTAACATTTTCCAACAGTTTAAAGTCCGGTTAACATTTTATTATAAATACCATTTGAAAACAAGACAGCCTAACACCCGTACTAGTCCAACCATTCGACTTTTACAACAACCCATCAGTGAACACATAAACATTTCATTAGCCCCAAAATACAATGGTTTCCCACCCAAAAGAAACTTGATAAACTTTTCTTACTGATTAACATGCCTTAGCTAATATTATACATCATTTTGTATACTAGAGATAAAACGATAAATTCAACACCCACCTTCTGTGCTGCTCTCTTCGGAAGAAGTCTCACTTTCCATCCCAACACTTTTCCCTTTTCCAGCGCATGATATCGCAAGCTTCATCATTGGTGTGATATTCGCCGTGGTTGCTTGTTGAACACTACTTCCACCCATCTCAACGATATTTTTTTTTGCTAAAATCAAACCTTCCGCCGCTGCCATTTCTGACATAAATTAACACAGTTACAAAAATTCTCGTAACCACATTCATCCATATAACAAATTTCTTATATACTCATTACATACCGCTCTTTGAAGCATGATTATGGTGTGGATTTCCTTGCAAAAGAGAGTCATTTACATCCCTCGTTGATCCTGTAGACGACCCAACACTTTCTTCTACCCCTACCATGCGTGCTGGTAAGCTTACTGGCTCAAGATTGACAACTTCATTCTCAGCGTTGGTACCCACCAATCCCAAATCAGCAAACCCTGTTGCGTTAACATTTAGGTTGTTGTCTTCATTACGACCTTCATTTGCTACACTTTCCCAAAACCTCATACCATTCTCAATCTCTTCCTCTGTTGGTCGTCGCTGAGCATGCTCTGGCTGCGTCATCAAATCCATTCCAACGTCCCAGTAGATCGGGGGAGCATCTGCCTCTGCAATGTTCCTCTCTTGCTCTGCTGCATTCTCTGTTTTCATGCACCAATTTTGTTTGTTTTTTTTTAAAAAAGAATTAGCAATACAACAATCTTATATCACAAGCAATTTTATTTCTCAATACCTATTGTTGGCTGGCCCCCATGACCTTCAACCATGTCATCATCATCATCGTCTATCTCAATAATGGGTGGAACATTGTTACGATTTTGGTTAGCAAGATAATTGTCCGCAAATGCCATCTCTAAAGAGACACGGTGAAAAAGCCTCATCCCTTCTTCTGAAAATATCGCATTCATAACCCTCTCCGTCTGTGCTGGTCGATTTCCAAATACTAGAGCTGCAGTCATTTTTCAATATATTATTACATGCATTCATTAAAGTTAGATTAAACCATATTTTAACTCATTTACAAACTTACTTTCATACGCCGCTCTTGAGTTCTCCGTTGCTGTCTCATCAAACACATATGTAGTAGCTCCAATGGTGAAACTTGTTCGGCATAGATATTGATACTCTGCTACCCCCCTCGGACCCATTATCACGAACAAAGGAAGCTCTCCTAGCCATGTCCTATCATTCATCAGGATCGTCAACTGTGACGTATCAGAAATAGTTGTTGGCGGAGTCTTCTTTCCCATTGGTCCAACCAACCAACTTGGTAGACGGTGAGAGACGACCATTGGCGTGTGTGGTGTAAGACAGTAACGTTGTCTTATGATTTGATCAAGCAGTTCGTAGCAAGTTGACCTGTTAACCAGAACCCTGTAACCGATGTCCTCAGGATGTGTAAGGAAATCCCACTCTTCATGTGGATCTTTCTTCCACTCGCCTCGCCATATCTTCACCCAACGAACCATTCTACCTGAACATAAATAACATGCAAACACACTATTAGTAATCATCCAAAACAATCTCTCTCGTTTTAATTTCATAATAAATGCAAGTCGAAGACAATCATTTTCTTAAAGGGACAAATTTAATGATAACAACTCAACGATCAAACGACAATCAAAGAGAGTAAATACATACAGAAGAAGATTATCATGGTATAAGCAATTAAATGCTGTCGGAATTTTTTACCTCTCTCAGTTCTTCTTACTGATCTGCTTCCAACTAAAACGATTTCCTTCCTTTTTATAGCTGAGAACCATATGTCTTGGTACTTCTCTCTCTTCCCCATACAAACTTTTTGCATGCTATCGAAAAGATTTTGGAAAGATTGTTCTTTGCATGCACTGGCTCTGTCAGAAATTCTACTCTCCCATTCGTCAATTTCTATAAGGGCGGCTCATGTTAAAATATGTGGGGATTTATAAAACACTAATCATTACTAAGCGACCAATTAGATTTAACACAACAGTTCGCTTACAAACCTACTCAAAAAGGCGTAATCATCACTCAGTCAAGGTTAGTAATGTCATTTACTTCTCTGATCGAAAACACTAAAAGCCCACCATTTTTTTGTCATGGGTATTCTCCTAAATAAGCACTTCTCTTGGTATTTTGGCCCAATTCACCCTTGAAGAAAAATGGAACGTCAACGTCAAGGGTCAAGTGAAACGAACGGAACGGGAGGGAGAGAATTGATATATTAATTTAAGCTCGAGGTAGGTCACACATCTACTTTCCCCTCCTAGATCGACGCCTCCTATTTTCGTTTTACTCTTTTCTTTTGCTCACTTCCTTTACTAAATCTTTATTTTGTAAATTGTTAAAGGTTAAACTTTAAATTTTTACTTTCTCAGCATGGGCAGCTTTTTACTAGGAAATCTCACATAAAATCTAGTTTTGATGAGACGAGTAAATGCAAAAAAAAAAAAGCAGAAAGAACACCATAATTTGGTTTTCCTAATGTTAAGCAAAAAAAAGAAAGATGAAGCATAATTAAAAACTAATAAAGTATGTATTTTGATTGAAAATATAGCCAGAAAGTATTAAAATGAAGCATATATAGTTTAGTTTTCCTTACGAAAGATGAAGCATAATTAAAAACTTAATAAAGTATGCATTTAAGTTTTGATTGAAAAAATAGTTAGAAAGTAATTGTGTTGATTCCTGCGTGTTGTCCGTCTCGGATATGACAAGAATCTAGCCAATGTAATCCACAAACCATTAACCGGCCACGTGGAATTTCTCGATCCTCATGATCATTTTATAGCCATATTTATATTCCTTATTTCTATTCCCATAATCGCAATTCTTCATTTAGCACTCAATCAAAACGAATTTTCAAAAATCATTGAACGTTACTACTGTGTGATTTTTTTTTAAGTGATCAGCAGATTGGTGGATTATTTTTAAAGTAATTGTTAAGAGCGAGACACATGTCTAGGTGATGTCTAGCCATTATTAGAATAATTCGTTGGAAACATGTAACATATGTACCACACGCTAGAACGCTACCAACATATCTGTACAGCTGTAATGTTAATGCGTCTATGTTTAAATTTGTGATTTAATTAAATGCAATCAACATGGTCCATGTAAATCCTTGTGTAAATATGTGCATGTAACACTTTGGATAATTATCATATTTTTTTTTTTTGTTTTTTTTTTTTTTTTTTTAATTATAATATTATTTAATCAATCCCGAATGGGAATCAAAGTTGAATACAAACCGGACTCAAACAAAATGATCTAGATCAATATGGTTACAATTCTAGTTTTGCATCACTACCTATCCGGCGCGTTCTGCTAGAGTGCTCAATATTCACTAGACTACCAAAGACTGTTCTCTTCTATTGACGTTTAACCCCGGGAAGGTGGGTTTTACCTCGTTGCCTCGGATGCCGGAGTCCCCGAGACGTCGCCTGAAGTAGCTAGTATTCAGTGATCTTGCCAAGCTTGCATTCTTCCTTGTCGATTACGCACAAGACACCAAAGGAGAAAAGGAATGAGGACAGCATACCTGAGGAGCACTGTCGGATTCCACACCACTCGCCTATGTCACCTTTAGAAGGAAAACCGGGTTTGAATACCATCACCGCACACAAGCCGTAGCCTCTATTAACCTGCACAATTCAGTAAAGCACACAACCAACTGAGAATCAAGTGAGTCCCGATTGGCTCTGGGAAATGCACTTTAACATAAGTGACACCAAAGCTTCCAATGACAAGGGCCGCTTTGACTTAAGTCTTCTCCGGGAACCAGAGATAAGGTGAATGTGTCTCGTGAAACAAACTCCCCGGTGTCAACGAGGAGGAGCTGTCGGATAAGAGCAAGAGGCACCACCAAGAATAAAGCCGTAGCCTTCCTTCAGGGTGGTTCAAACTTGAGCACCGGGTAGGGGGGATCTGCAGAGAGGAAAGCCCACCCGAAGAGGCGAAGAGGCCATAGACGACCGTCGAGCCAAACATCGAGAAAGACAAAAACGCGCCGGAGAAAGGAGTCGCTGCACCATCTTCCACCTGCGTACAACGAACCCTAGACGCGCCACCGAGGTAAAGGGATCCTCCGATGCTCTCAAGCTACAGCGACAGGAGGACGCCTCGCCACGACGCCGTGAGGAGAACTGAACCAACCTTCACCAAGGCTGACTAGCCCATCTTTCGGAACCTGCAAACGCATCTGCAACTGAAGAAGATGACCAGACCTTCACACCACCACCACGCGCGACAGTATTAGAGAGTAGATCTGGAATTGGAAAATCAGATCTACTTAAACAAACCCTAAGAGCCGACTCAAACACTCCTGCTTCCACCCCCACACCTCGCCTTGAGTCCAGAAAGAGAAGCTCCACCAAAAGAGACGACCTCCTCGCGAGCGGTGATCGGAAACCAGCGACGGAACCCTAGTCCAGAAACGACAGCATCTCGGAGGGGGGAAAGGATACAGGAGGCAGGGCAAAGGAAAAGCAGAGAAAGAGGAGAGGACGCTTCCGGTGCCGGTGCTAACGCTCACCAGACACCGGAGCTACACCGGAGAAGATTAAAAGTCGAAGGCTTGGGAGAAAACAATAGAGAGAGAAGTATGGATAATTATCATATATATGCATATAACCAAAGAATCAAGTGTTAATTTACACATTGAAATAGCAATATTTCTCTTTACCATTTATGGGTTTGGTCTCTCACTCTCGGTGATATTAGAACGTTAGCATCTACGCGTACACGCAAGAGTGACACCTACCTGTATTTCCACAATTCATCTATAGTCTCGTAGGCCCTATTAGTTAGTTATTCTATAATCGATATACCCATAATACATATTCTCGGTGATAAATAAAAGAATAGATTATGAACAGAAAGTCTTAATAATATGTACGATTCCTGTTGGAGATAGAACCATGAACAGTAAGTTTGCAATCATTAAACGCAAACGCTCTTATGCAGTATGCATTAAACATAACGTGTATGTGATTATCTTCTGTTTATATTTCACGTTTTCAGTCTACACTTGAAACATTAAACGGTAGCGATTGTGTAAGCAATTTTTTATCCATCTGTTGGATTTCAATTTTTTCTAGCAATATTATTTACCAAAACATAATGGATAGGACGCACATGTATTTAAGTATATATAACATAACTATTTTTAAAAAAAAAGTAGCAATCATGTATATATCACCAATATATATACGTGCACGAAAACGTAATTTCGGATTATATAACATGTCGGAAAACTACATATATTTTGAGAAATTATGCACGAATCACGTACTTACTAAAAAAGTGATAACAAAATTGTTGTTAACTTATTAAATATGGTCACAATCATCTACACAATTTATCAGAAATACATGGCTATGTAGTGTATATGCCCTTGTTAATTGCTTCAATTTTGCATTTTAATAATTCAAGTACTGTTTAGGATTAACAGTCGGTGTTGATAAACCCTACCTGCTATTATTCTGTCTTCGGTAGAAATTATTTAGTACTACTGAGTGAATTAGTCCAAAAAGTGTATTATCATATCTTGATCCAAGTTTAGATATCTCACGATAAACATCATGGATGAACCAATTATTTGTTACGGTATACCATGTTAATCACCAGAACCAAATCCCACGTCCATACAAACAAAAAAAAGATAATTTAATTCTCAATAAAAATCAAAACTCAAGAATGATGAGTTTACGTCGAGTCCAAAGAGTTTACCATCAAACTATCACCATTTGATTAATTATTGGTGCATTTTCTCATATTTAAAATTCTCTGTGAAAAATATAAATGGTGATGATGTTTAAGTTTTAAGGTTCATTTTCAAATTATATGATGTTTTAGAAGATTTATGTTGTTTTAAAATATATGATGTTTTAAGATTTTTAAGTTAATTTTAATTTTATTACAAATTATTTAATCAATAAAATTTTATAATTAGTTCAATGATTTTAAAATTATAGTTTTAAAAATATTCTTTAGAGGAATATATATTTTTAACTTTTGTGCAATAAACCAAACAAAACATTATACAAAAAGAAAGAGAGGGAGTGTCAAACTACTATTCTAATCGCGATGCGATAGTGTTAGTTAATCAGATCCGTCAACGTCGAAAGAAGTGAGGGCCATAGTGCGAGATCGAATCATAAAATTAAAAGTCAGTCAGGAGCGATGCACCTTAAACTTAGAATTCGACCATACGATTTTGATGGAATATACCGCAGTTAAAATTTCTCTTATTATATGATCGTCATCACGTTTAACAATACAAAATTAACAATTCATTGTTTTTCAAAAATTTCTGAATCATGATTACAAATACGAAAGAGAGAAAGATTGTGAATCCATGATTCTTATACGACCACGTTTGATCTCTTCTTGAAAATGACACCCAGGCCACAATTCAGTTAACCAATGAACCAACCTTTTATAATGGAAAAAGATTTTCACATATCTTTAAACGAGCGTAATATAGGGTCAATACATGTTCCCGCCTGTGATGTGTCTGGTATTTCAACGAGGGAGAACAAAAATCTCTAAAACAAATTTATATGAAGGCACAACTAGCAGACTTATGTTTAAATAAATTTAAAGAACTTAATCGATTAATTAACCCGGTTATTAATGTTCTTTACTTTTTAAATGATCAACAATCAATATTTTCATATATATTAGTTTTAGAGATTTTTTTCTCTAAAAAATATGCTTGATGGTTCTGTGGATGTCAGGTTCGATTTCAATGTTCGGGAGTCATACGAAGGCTTACACGGTCTTGTTAGAGTTGTTTTCTTGAATAGTCTCTTGTTTGTCTGTTTTGCTTGCTGTTGTTGAAGTTTTAGTATGGAAACAGTTTCCTGACTAGCCCTCCCATTTTGCAATGACTCTCTACTCAAAGTCTTAACTATGTCTTTGGTAAGAGTTCTGATCATGCTTCGTCCTCACAACATTGACACAGCTCTGAATTTCTAATGCCGGAATGCCTGGAACAATCTTGTTATCTTGAAGATTTATATATATATGGTTTACCAAAAAAAAACAAAAAGATTTATATATATGTGATGTGATACACTTAATCCTAAGGGCCAAGTGTTTAAATATATATCCAAATTTCACTTTGGTCATGGGTTCTGGATCCTTCTTTTTAAGTGCACTCTTTGAGTAATAAGTCTTCAAAACAGCTGTTTTGATGATTCTGTATAGAAAATTCTACTCAGCATCTTTCTTCTTCACTTTTCTTTTATATCTTAAAATTTATCATTTTTCCATATTAAGCTGCATTAAAACACTTCAAAAAACTCTTTCTTCATAATTCAAAGTTACAAAAACAAGATCACACTCTTCTTTTTTAATTACCAATCCAAAGTACTAAGAAGGAAACATAAGGTAGAGGGTTTCTTCCTGCAAGACCATCAAAGTTACAAGAAACAAAAGAGACTCGACTTAGTTTCCACGTCTATGAGCAATTCTCATAGGCCTACTTGAACACTCAACACCGTTCATACGCTCCACAGCAAGCAACAATTGGCCATGATCTGAAAATGTAACAAAACCGTATCCTTTGCTACGCCCAACTCTGTCAAACGAAACCGTTGCTGATATAGCTGAACTGTAACCATTGTCAGTGAACGTCTTTAGTAGCATCTGATCCGTAACATCACGTGCCAGATCACCAACGAATATGGAGTCAGTAGCAGTCTTCTTTGCCCACATCAGTCTAAACCTCCGAGAGGGAACTAGTCCAGGCATTAAAGTGTTGTTGTACTTATGTAAAGCTTGTTCCGCAGCATCGGCAGATTGAAACTCGATAAAACCGAAGCCTAGGCTTTTACCGGTTACCTTGTGAGTAGGGACGCGAATAGAAACATCCTCTCCGGTTTTGGCAAAACAACGGTAGAGGTACTCTGTCTCTGTCTTGTCTCTCACGTCTCCTATCCAAAGAATCCGGTTTGGTGATTCATCTGCTTCACTTGTATGCTGCTGCCCCTCCACTTTCTTCTTCTCCAAGTCATGTGGTAGAGACGGTGCAGCTGCATGTTGCTGCTGGTCAATGAGCGGAGGAGAATTCTGAAATTCAAAAAAAAAAACAAAAAAACAGAAACTCAAATTAGTAAAACCTGTGAAATCTATATTGGAAAGTTTGAGATTATTGAAGAAGAACCTGATCTTTAAACCCATCAAGAAACGCGCATAAACTTTCAAGAAACAGAGCGGCTTGAATCCCTGTGGTAGCTTTGAAGATATCTTTAAGCACACTCTTCCTCAAATTGTTTGCAGCAACAAAGATTCTCACAAGCTCCTCCTTCTCTTCCTCTGCCGCGTCATCAACCGCCTCCATCACCGAAGAAGCTTCCTCCGTGGCCTCGACCCAATTCTTGGAAACACGAGCTACGAAACGGATATGTACTCTACTCATCTGCTCCACTAGGTTATTCACACTAAGCATCATACAACGCTCGATCTCATCGACTCTTTTAACCTGCTCGTCTGAATCGATTAAAGATCGGATGAGACAAGTGAAGAGACAAGGATGGATATCGCCGATGAAGAAAAGCTGTGTCTCATTCCCTGAGGGGAAGAGGATGTGACGGATAGTGTTGTTATCGGAAGAAGTGATTAGGGTTTCGTAGTGGTGGATCAGGTAGTACATAACGTTATCTACGTCGGTGTCCGGTACGATCGCTCGAGGGTCTGAGTAGATTGATTCGCGGAGGAGAGGGAGGCAGTATTCGGTTAGGTTTTTTGACCACTCGGTGTAGAGTTCGTTGACTGTGAGAGGTTTCTTGCTCTGGAAGCAAGAGGACTCCATTTTTTTTAAGATGATAATTGAGAGAGGTTTCTTTGCTCTGTTTTTTTGGAGGGAAGTCGAGAGAGTCCGTGACTATATGTTCGTTATCTCCGGTTTAATTGAAACTAAACCGAGTCTTGTACGTTAATTTCAGTTCGGTTTTAAATGACCAGAACTATAGTTATTTTAGATACACTCGCACAACACAGACTTTAAGATCACTGACGACAGTTATGTATGACTCTTGTGCAGAGTTGTCATTTCAAGGGAATGTGATCTCGAGAGTAAGAATAATGCTATGGTTAAAGCTATCGATTTTTTTAATAATCAATTCTCTTTTCTAGTAGTTATATGTCAGGCATCTGATCTCATTTCATTGACTACATAGTGGTATGCTAGTTTAGTTGCTTGATAACCTTGTGTTCATATGCTTGATGTGTTTTGTTTTTTTTATTAACTGAAAAAAACTACATGGATATAGTAGAAAGTGCTTACTATGTTGATTAAAGATTAAAGAGAGGCATGCTTACGTCAAAACATTAGATCTAGTTCTACAGGGTTTGGATCTCAAAATTAGTTTGAACAAATGTAACGCAGTGGATACTGAAACAATGACTGGGACTGGTTTTGCATGCAATGTGTGTAAGTTGGCACTCAGAAGTTCAATCTGGGGACGTGTTGAAGTTTCATAGAATAACTTTGAAAGTTGAAACCTTAGAGACTTTAAAACTCAGATTTTACCGAGAAGTATATGAAATATCCAAAATGTACATGAATAGCCGAGAAAAACTAAAAAAATATGGCAAAAACTTGAAGTTAGTGTCGGCCTTAAGCATGGCGGATCTAAATGTGAAATGGGTATAATATGCGCATAATGGCCCAATAACCCATCGAACCAACACGATGAACCCTGTGGAATGTTGGGTTCACTCAACCCAGCAGATTAACGTGTTTATTTCATAGAAGACTTGAAACTTAAAAACAGGATAATCTGGAGTGGACTAATATAATAGGTGTGAACGTAGCTAGCTGCATAAATGTAGCAGTAGCACCAGAGTTTTAGGAAACAGTAATGTCAAATGGGAACTATTGGATCATAGTGTGAAGTCGACCATGATGGGATTGGATCATGTAGCTTGACAGGATATTTTATATACAGACGACATGAAATGATTCTGTTTCTCTGGCCACAAAAACTAGCTATCTACTATGTTGGCTCCATTCTTTTGTTTCGTATTTACAGGTATCATGAATCTCAGAAAAAAAGTTTAAGAATAGTTCGTGTAGTCTAGTGACTAAGAATTTTTTCATGATTTGAAAATAGAGAAGGGCATGAATTTTTCAAAAGATAAAATTTTTTAGGGGGTACACTCAATATAGGGGTTTGAAGTTATTTGATCTAAGCAAAAAAAAAAGGTACTTGATTTTAATGGATTTTAGATGATTATAGATAAATTAAAGAATTTAAATAATTTTATAAAACTATTCTATAATTTCAGTTAAAACTATGAGATTTATATTTCTTTTAACTAAAAACTCCACTGAAACATCTCTAAATCACTAGAAAACATTTAAAACTCACAACTTAAAATATACTCCATCCGTTTCATTTTAGTTGTCGTTTTAGGTTTTTGCACATAGATTAATAAAAAAATAATTTTACATATTTTCAAGATAAAAACACAATTTTCTATACACCTAACCATTTTTTCAACCAATAGAAAAATAGAATAGTATAAAAAATTAATAAATTTGTATTGAAATTATAAAACGATATTTATTTTAAAACAAAAATTTTACTTTACAATGACAAATAAATTGAAACGGATGGAGTATTAAATAACATTAGATTTGAAAATACTTTAATCAATGATAAGTTCAATAACATGTTTGTATAAGAAATTCAAGTGAGAATTACGATCCATGCTCTAACAGTATTAACAAGCTGTTACAATCTACTGTATATTCTTTTCCATCTGTATAGCCTTTGATTTTTTAACAGTTCTAATGCATACATATTGGTTAACATAGAGAGACATTTTGTGTATAACTAACCTGCATATCAGCATAGACAAGAACAAAGACTTGACAACACATAGACAATTTATTCAAGAAGTGTTGCAGTTTGGTAAAATATGATTTTTGCTAACTTTAGCCCAATTAAAATTTTAAGCCAAAATAGTGGAAAGTAACTTTTACTGGGTTAATGGTCTATTTTGTTCTTATAACTTCAATTTAAGCAACAACAAAATATTATAACACCATATAATTAAAAAGTTAAAACTGAGACAGATTGGTTGGTACTAGTTCTCTCACTTGTCTGAAAATTTTAAGTTCCCGAGAACTAGAAAGGATGAAAAGAAAAGCCAAAAAGATGCATACATTTTTCATATTCATTTTGCTTTCCCATTTACATATTTTGTGACAACTCATAAACACAGACTCCATATTCCTCTTTTTGTTCTCCCCCTCTTAAATTTTTCATTGTATAAAATCATGTGTTCTGTCTTTGGTCCTTTCTGCTGTTACTGTTTGGAAAATTAATAGTATCCTTTTTTGTTATAGCTTCTTCTGCTGCTGCTACTCTCTGCCCATTCATTAACTTCACTTTCATCCAACTTGCAAACTATTCATTTTCACCTCTTACTCTTTTGTCCTTTCTCTTGTTTTGGGACTTTCACCTTTCCAAAGTCCCAAAGCTTTATTTATTTCAGAGCATTTAATTTTGGTATTTTTCAATTTTAATTCAAACAAATAATTGTTTCTTTTAAATCATGACACTTTGAACTTAAATGAAAAAAGACAAAAACATAGTAGTCCCTACAAATTACAGCTCTTTAGTTTTCCGAGTGTTTGGTTGATTTTTTTTGGTCTTGATGTGATTAAATTACTATGGTTGGAGTCTTGTTGTTGATGATTTGCTCCCATTTCGATAATTATTGAAACGTTCCAAAAAAACAAAAGCTGACATTCATAAAGTTCTCTTTGGTTGTGATAAATTTATTTTGTTCCTTTAGGAAAAGTTACGTAAAAAAAGAAGCAAAACTCACTGTTTAGCTTTCTCAGGTTCAATAATTGGCGGTAGCATGGTATTGGCACTCATAATAACAACATGTGACAAAATAACCAAATCCACTTTTTAATAACTCAACAGTAAAACATGAGATTCTTAACATTATCACTAAGTTTAGGTAATGGAATCGTCTTGGGAGGACCCACTCTAGAGACACAAGATGGATTCATGGACCCACCACTAGTTTCAGATGATCTCTCGATGTATAGCCTTCCTCTGTACGCAGCAAGGTGAGCATAATAAGCCGGTGGCACGATAGAAACAGGTTTCGTGCACCTCACGAAAGTGTAACACAAGTTATACACAAGTCTCTGTAACTCATCTGAAGTAAACTCGTTTTCGTCCCATAAGATGTGGTAATGCGTTGGCCTGCTCGTTCCCTTCACTCCCAAGTGGCTACAAAGATAGAAATCAAACTCTTTCGGATGTGTTATCACAGTATCAACCACTGTTCCTGGCGGGATGTTCTCATGACCGCCAGGTTCACACCGGAACAGCCTCGTGTGGTGTCTTTTCTGGACCACAGCGAAAGTTATTGTCGGATTGTAACCGTGGAAGTTAGAACAAGCGGCTTTGATGGCTTGTAGCTCTTCTTGGAGGACTTTCTTGAACTGTGTCTCACTCACACCGTCTCTAAAAAATATGATCCTATTGGGAAGCTTCTTTAGGGCTTTGTGGAAATCTTCAAGTAGTTCCTTGACCATCACGTCAAGATCTTGAATGATCTCTTGCCTATGTGTCTGAGACCGCATTCTCGAGACGTATCGGTTAGCTTCTGGCCAATTTATGCTCCCAACCACAGCCGCTACAGAAGGGCTGCAATCATCAAACGGATGTGGATGCGTTACATCAGCTCCCATGAAGATCACTGGCTCATCAAGCCTAAACAATCTAGGGATGTGAGAAGGTATTGAGTTATAAAGCTCGGTCATGGCTCCACCGATCTTAGCGTTTATCTTGAGAGCCAAGTTTGAAACAAACTGAGAGTTTAGCTTAGTGATGTTAGGGTATAAGCAGCATTGTGTCACAACGCCAATTCTCGTCTCTGCTATCCTCTTTAAATCTCCATACCCTTTGTGTTTTCTCTCCATTACACAGATAATCAGCTGTAGATTGTTTGATGCAGCTCTTTGAATCTCCTTGAGCTTCATCTCGAGAAGAGGAATGTTGTTGAGTATGTTTGATGGTTCAAAGAAGGTTGTGCTCATTGTGTTCTTGCTTAAGAAGACTCCCAAATGCTCACATTTTTGAGTTAGCTCATTTATGAACTTGGGAATGGTAGATTTCTGATCAGAGCTGCCTCCAATACTCATCAAAGCCCATCGAGTTCCTTTGAAAGATCTGCTTTCTATTAGACTCCTTGGCCTGTCAAGTTTCAGCTTTGGAGGTTGAAGTACTCTTCCTTTCAGCAATGTCATATCTCTAGAGACTTCCAAGTTGAACTCTCTTGTTTGGTTCCCACTGTTAAACATTAAGAAGCAAAAAGATTAAACCCTAACTGATGTTTATAAAACCCATAGAAACTTGATTGAAATTTACCTGGATGGACCTACTGGTCCTGCCATGACATTATCAATAGTATCTTTCCTTTCATTTGGTCTTTGACATCCCATTTTCATAATCTTTGCAGTTTGATCATCTGAAAGCTTCCCAAGAAATTTTTGACCTTCACATATCATACATAGTTCCATAGGAAGGTAACAAGGTCTTGTCCTACTAATCTGAAGACATGGCAAGTTCTTGAACTGAATCTCATAGTTATAATGATCTTGAAAGTAACTCATAACCCTTAACTGCTTCCCATCTCTATCCGGAAACCCTAATCTTTCAGTGATCTCCTCTGTTAACCCGTAAACGCGGTACCTTTGAACAGTCTCTCTATGGCAAACAAAGACTCTTATGTTCTTAAGTGCTTTCTCCACTTCTCTCCTTTCTTCCAAACTCAGTTCTCTACCTTTGTTCCTTGAGAGATCCTTGAGAAACTCTAGCCTCTTCTGCAAGTAAGCTATTACTCCAATGCTTTCATGAAATGCTGCTATTGAGAGGTCTATATTAAGGGCTAAACCTTGCTGAGTCTGTCTAAGACTCTGGAAAAATCCTCTGAGTCCAACGGATCCTCCTCCAATCTCCTTGGATCCACCCATGGAGCTAGAGTAAAAAGATCTTCCAATAGATGTACATTTCTCTGTTGGATTCTCCCTCAAGATCACATCAAGAGCATGAATGTATTCTTGAGGCAAAGGAGCCCAACTTTCACCTTCCTTTCTCTGTTTCTTCCCATCAAACTTTGACACAAGCCTCATGCTAACCCTAAACAGCTTATCAACCTTCTTCTGAGGTTGCTTCTCACGCAAGTCACCACCGCAATTCCTCAAACTCTTGCATGATTGGATAGGGAGGTTAACAAAGAACTCAAGCTTATCTTCTTGAAACTCCACAGGGCTGTAAATGTTTTGCCTACCATCAAAAGCTGGAACAGAACCGGAGAAGCTACCCCTTTCTGTCTCCACGAGCTTCTGTTTGATCATCCGAGCGATTTCTTTTGAAGGGTTTGGGGAGATGTCAACGTTGTAATGGTAAATCTTCTGTGAAGGATCAAACTTGACAAGGAAATGGTTGGCGAGGAGGTAGATGACAGAGCCATCTTGACCACCAGAGTCTGGTCTTTTAGCAACCACTAGTGCTGTTTCTGTGGACCCACTCACTTTGATGTTTCTACTGTTGGCTTTTTGTTCAGAAAATTGCGTATTCTGCTTCTGTTGATGATGGTTTCTCTCCACAACTGTTAATTACAGATTTAAGCAAAAAAAATGTTAATTACAGATATGTTGAAGAAGAGCAAAGCAGGTGAGTCAAAGTCAAATAAGACTTTAATTTTTGTTTTATCACAAAAAATGCAACTAAATCAGTACAGTGTTTAAGCAGACAGAGAGTTTCTTTCTATGTAAAAGTTTCAGACATTAACACACTAAAGAACATTCAACAAAAAAGTGATACTATTATTGTTGTACAAAGAGAGGAGGACCATATTGACATTTAATTAATAGTGTGGGAACCGAAATAGCCTTGAAAACCTCGTCCAATAAATAATAAAAATAATAATCTGGACATGGTTCTTGGAGAAACTCTTCAGACATAAGAACCAAAAACATGCAAGAAAAGAAGGCAAGAAGAGAGAGAGAAAGATGGTGTGCTCACCAGGAGAAAGAGAGAGCGGTTTGGAAACTGAGTTGAAGAATCTTTGGTCAGGAGGAGGAAGAGGAAGTAATGGAGGAGAAGGATGAAAAGGGAGATGAGGAGGTGGAAGAGTGTTGTAGAACTGAGAGTAGAAGCAGTAGTAATAATAGTAGCTAGAATGGATGCTAGTGGAGAAAAGATTGAGATTTTGTTGGGGAGAAGGAGGAAAAAGAGGTGGGTTTGTGGGAACATGGTGAAAAGGAGGAGGCTTGTGGAGAAGAGGAGTTCTTGATTTGGAGTTGGGGATGTGTTTGTTAGTATGATGACTCTTAGTTTTTTCTTCCATTGATGAAGAAAAATGAAGAGGGAGAAAGACTGTGAGAGAGAGACCTTTGAGGAAAAGCAAAAGAGAGAGAGAAGAAAAGGTGTGAAGAAGAGTGTGGTTTATTATCAGATAGACAGAAAGGGTTTGTCTGGTTTTGCTCAGGGAAAGGTCAAAGTGTCTTCCTCTGTTATTTTTCTGCCCTGCCTCATATAAAAAATAAAAGAAATAAATGATGTTATTTATGATGTCATAAATACGCTCAAATTGTTTAAACAAAAACTGAAAATTTTGAAAAGAGCCAGCAGAAAAGTATTTTTTTCAAAAAGAAAAAGAAATTTAGAAGAAATTTTCAACTAAATATTGATTAAATTTATAACACATAATAGTATGTCTTTGAATTGTATGTTTTATAACGAATAGTTTTGGTAGTAATAGAACAGTTTTTGATAACAATTTTGTAAACTCACACAGGTCAAGCCTCAAGGTTATTGATTGAAGTGTACGATACTGTATATCAATCACTCATACTAAAAAAAAAACTAATTATCTGGCAAAAATAGTAAACAAAATTTTTGTGTAAATCTTATCGATTATATTATAAATTGATATGTTTTTCAACGGCATAAATGATTAGATTGGCCTATAGTTTCGTAAACCCAAAGTTGCACACATGTTTTTTTTCCTTACAAAATACCAATACACTCATTAAAATCGAGTTATGGGGACCATTCTATTTAATTATTTATTCTTGGTACTATTTTCTTGGTACAGTACTTCATTAATACTAGACACTTTGGACTCTTTCATCAATACACAATAAACATATTTTCCGAAAATGTTTTTTTTATAAAACAATTTACATGATTTTCGAGGTCCGTGCAAAATTACAGCTAGATAATATAAAACAAATTGTAGCAACAAAAATTAAATCGACCATTCTTTAAGAAAAAAAATGGGAATATTATCAGAAGTTAAGATTAATCAATCTTACTATTCATAGCCTTTTATTAAAAAAAAAACTTACTCTTCATAATACCAACTAGTTTCATGAGCCTATGGCTTCTTTCATTTTGATGGTGACCAAAACCCATCCCACAATTAGATAGGTCCCACTAATTTTATCTCCTTGAATAATTGTTTATCTTCAAAGACCTAACGATGAACAATGGTCTTAAAACATCATATCAATATCGATATTTATATTTGAATAATATATGGTTCAATTTTTGTTGGTACCGTAATAATGAAGTAACGCTTAAAGCGAATAAGAGGATCAATAGATTTTAGATTGGAACTTTTTAGGAGGTATGGTCAGATTCAATGAGTTTATTTTGTGTAATGGAACACTAAAGATTATGACTGGGACCAAAGAGATTTGGTCAAAGCTGAAAGTTCCCTATAAACCCATTGTTTTGGGCTAGATTTGCTCCACTTCTAATCTAAATGGTTAGCTTTTTTGAATAATTAATTAAATATTGTATATATATGTATATATATTTGACTTTCTCTTACTACAAACTTTTATTTTCCTTTGTCATCTCAAGACTTTGCACAAAAAAAAGTCTCAATACTTTATTAAATAAAGTATTATTATGAGAATGTTCTGATGATGTCGACGGCGAAATATGATTACCGTGGAATCATGGATCCTAAACCATATAACTAATCATCTTTGGTGAGTATTAATTAGTCATTTACAAAATACAATTGTTTTTTTTCTATTTTTTTTTTTGTTTTTGGAAATCATAAATCCACTGTTAGACGCCTCCTCTGGCACAGTTCAGTACAAAAAAAAACTAATTACGAAAATTTATATTAATAGTGAAATTCGAAGATCAAGGTCCAATCGCTCTAACCAATATCAGATGACCCGTCATTCCATTTACCAATATTTGATTTGGACAAGAGCCTATACAGATGGTGTAACACAACCTAATCAGATAATCTCCCGATACCTATTTCTATGAAAACACATTCTCTTTGCAACTATTTTCTTTATATATTTTATATTTCCTGGATAAAAAATTATTTACCTTTGAGTAGATTCTCATCCAAATTATGTGTGCTAAGGAAAACAAATTACCACTCCTGTTTTTAGTTTTAGTGTTAACTTGCTAAGAGACATGATTAGGACACAAGCAATTATCGTTTTGCATAAAGTGAAAGCATAATTATTGCTGGTTTTACATCGTGATTACTAGGTTTAGATAACAAAGTGTCACGTTAGTATTGTTACTGGTCAATACTTTTGAGTTTTTATGCAAACAACTAATATGAATATTTAGTTTTTGTATTATGTAGTATGATTTTTTTTTGTTTATAAATAGCAGGAAATTAGTACATTTTTAACCTTAAACATCACTTTTAAACAGATGAAGTATTAAACATGTAGATTACACCCTTTTGATCAAAGCTAACACAAGAATAAACAACTCATTTGTGATATTGTAACTACGAGATCTCATGGCTGGTTCGGTAAAAAACTAAAGGCTTACAAATAAATTGATATCGAGTTTCTTTATAAATCTCTAATGTTTGGAGGTACTAAATGAAGTATCTATGTGTACAAATAAAAGCTTGTATAGAAGAAAACAAACTCCAGAATTGAAATCGAAGAGAGAAGAGGACTAATGAGGCTAAGATTTTGGTATGCACTGACCAAGTTATTGTAAAACTGGTAACTTGTAACTGAATAGAATAAGAATGGAGAGGAACAAATGAATCGTCCAGTGATCGTTGTTCTCATTCTCGATCGTAACCATCCTCATCATTTCATTCACACTTTCTCACTAATATACTCGGCAATTTTTGTATAAAGATTATGATAAATTCCCTTGTAATGGCTTGAATCTCTTGCTCTCCCCACTTTTGTATGACCCAAAATGTGGTGTGAGTCGTGTGACATGTTTACCTATAACTTT